ATGACATTAATTTTTGAATCATGCTAACTGAATCACTCAGCAATCTTTGCATAGCATGAAAATAAGTCAAATAGGGGATTTTGAGTAACTGATATAGTGTTACAATCCGGTAAATTTGCAAGACTTTGCTTTCATAGGATGATATCTACGGTTGCTTGAAAGGGATTCGATTAGATTACTCAGTTTAAGTCAGACTGAAGTAGGCTTATTGACCGAATGAATGGACTACATTACAGCCCTAATCATCTTGGATGTATTGTTAGTAGCTTTAGTTTTACCAGACCAGTGAGTGGGCAGATAAGACTGAGTGTCTGTGTTGTATAATGTAGGGATGAGAGGAGGAACCTATAAAATGCACCCTCTAACTGTTACATTTTATACAGAGTACTTTCACCGTCTGTTATGATTCTGATGGGTTTCATGGCAAAACAATCTGAACTGATTCATGGGCATACTTTTGTGTTAAGTATGAGAACGAACAGAGAAGAATAAAAAACTTTTTGTTGCGCAGCCAGAAATGTTAAACCTTTTATTAGATTTAGCTTGACCTGTTTGAATCTTCTGAACACAGTGCGTTTTTAATATGTGCTGATCATGACAGAAGAAACTGGGCACACAGAAACCAGCATCATCTGCAGTTATACTGCTACAGGGTTACACAAAGTTGATTTTGGAATGGATAAAGCAGGCTAACACTGAACTTCTGGAATGATCTTCCCAAAACCCTAACCACAGACGTATCGAACATTTCTGGACTAGGCTTAAAAGCTTGGTTCATATCAGGAAAACAACCAGTTTAAATGATCTCTACCACTTCTGCCAAGAAGACTGTTAAAATATTGAGGCAGCATTATACCAAAAGCCTGTCGAAATAAAAAGAAATAAAATAGTTGAGGTCTAAAAAGCTAAGGTACATTTAACCAATTATGGGAGGATGTATTGGAGCATGTGTGTATATATTTGACCCTGTGTTGGTTAGAGAAAATCCACAACAACTTCAAACCACCCAGTTGTGCACCCAGTTCTTGTGTTTTTAAAATAATTAAAGATGTGTACTGTACAATCATTCCACCCTGGAAAAAGAACTCATTAAAAGCACAAAATTACCATGACATTTGTCCCATGATGAGTATATTTAACCTTCTCACAACTCTGCGTCTGAACTGTGTGGGCGTGCATGGCTTGTGTCAGGATGGCATTGAGTCCAAATTGCACGGGGCTAATTGGGCCCCTATGCAGTTGTAGTTGTATGATTGAATTCTTAAATCCACATCTCGAAATGTCTTTAATTTCTCTGAGTTCTTGGAAGTCTATAAAATGAATCTCACCTTGTCATTACAAGTATCCCAGGTGCTTTCATCTTGAAGTGCATTATCCCACACTGCAATAACACGCACGCACACACACAAATATGAATTGCAAATGAAAGCAATTACACAGCAAAACTCTTAGGTTATTTGGGGTGCTACTTTTCCCCAGCTGCCAGGTAATCTGACAAATTAGTCTCAGCTGCTCCTTCTTCATCTCTAGGGGAATATTTTTTTTCTCTCTCTCTCTGCGGCTGCTGAGATTTTAGGCTTTCTAGAGCGAGGACTCACACACAGACACACAAAGCACACTGTGGATGGCTGTCCATTACCTGGAGCAAGTGAAGCAGTGTAAGAGATCCCTGATTTCAGACCAAATAAAACAATTCATTGATTTACATATGGAAAAGAAAATGGACTTTAGGAGCATTAAAAGCCCGAAGTTTAATCTCAGGCGGCACGGTCAAGAGACATACTTATGTAGGTGGTGGCGGGGGTGTTTTTCCACCTTATTAAAACATGAGCGTTGTTTGAATCTAACACTTGCCTAGAGCTGTACAACAATCTTTGATGCTTATCCAAGGAAAATCTTCCTGCCCTCACATGTTTTGAAGGTGGCAGCAGTAACAGATGAAGTGGTTTAATGAGGTTTCTGAGAGTGAATTCCCCTGAAGGGATTAAAAAATGTTTGGGGCCCATTTCTCTCCCACCTGGAGCATTGGGTTATGATGAGAGGCTGAACTAATGACAGTCATTACTTTCAGACATAACACTATGTGTACGGATGCAGCTGCTGTGAATACGTGTAGCTAAATAGTCTACTTGCATGCCAGCATACTTTACTTAGTTTTAGTGCAAAGTTGCTAAAATACCATATCCCATATTCATCATGGTTTTCTAAATGAACTGAACAAATGTCAATTGAATCTTTTGAGTCAGTGATTGGACAAAAAAAATGGAATATATAACTAAAGAAAAGCCGTTGAGCCATAAAAAATCAAATAGAAACAATCATCTAAAGCCTTATTTGCTCAGGACTACTAGTGTTTTTAGTAGATGTGATATGTGCATGGGATTTATTTCATACTTTCACCACTCCTGCATCTGTGTTTCCTGCAGCACATTTGCACGCCATAAGCAGACTGAAGATATGGTGACAAATTTGAGCCTGTTACTGTCATGCATGACATCCATCTCCTCAACTTTTAAGATTTTATTCTTCTGTTGCATTTAAGCTTGGGCTTTCTGTAAACTGGGTCTCCATGCGCCATGTGCTTGTTAATTTTTGAACACTGAATGCTGTCTAAAATTTATGTATTTACTTAAAATTTCCAACACAGCTGGAAGGCAAGAGAAAAGTGTATAAAACCCACCCACCATGACATCACTGAAATTCAGAATCATGTAGCTAGACTAAGGCTATCACAGGATCTGGGTGTTTGGTGAGACCGCTGAAGTAATTTACAAATTACTGGAGGTCTCCAGGTGACACGAGTCCTATGTAAACACAGCTATGCTTGGCGCATGTCATTTCTGAAATGATATTATTGAGCTTATTCATTCATGTCTGGTAAAAAAATAATGTTGTGTATGTGACATTCTAGGGTTCAGCAAGATATTTTTTTTTGCTCTTAATATGTGAGATCTCTCTGCCTTGCAGGCTAATCAACACATTTGCATATTTACAACCTGGAGCAGTGAGCTCTAGACCTTCCAGCTGCATTGACAGCTGTGAGGCATATGCTTCTGTGGATGCAGAAGAAGCCAGAAGGTTCAGTGACACGTCAGTATATGTATATGTAAATCCACTTTTTAGAGGCAATGACACAGCCCGCTTTAGCATCTTTAGTGAGCCTGCAGTCTTTTATTTTCGGAGTACTTTGAAGCATGACAAAGGGATCATGTGCTACTGTTTACTAAGCAGAAACACCTCTAACACAGTGTGATGTGTTCTGTTTTATCTTCCAAGGTGAAAACAGAAGAGCACATGACAAAGTAGTCATTAGAGCATTAAGGATATTAGGTATTGAGTGGAAAAGAACACATTAAGCTAATGGATGAAGCTGCTCTTAAACCCCCACAGTCCCCAAACTCCATCTACAACCTTTGCTAATGTATCATCCATCCATACAAGGTGCAAAGTGCATTTTGAACAAGAACACTCTCCTGAACAAGTCAGAGATCTACAGAAGGTTCATATCAGCAAGGAACTGAAGCAATACTGGAAAAAGAAATTATCAGTATATCATGGCATGCCATCATTGAGTAACATGAAATAATATGCAGTACTAGTAAGTCAAATAATAAATATTTTTTAAATGGATCACACAGATCACATCAAAACATATACAGGAAATTATTAAACCACTCCTGCAGCATAACACATTTCCTGGCTTTTTGATCTGTTTGTGACTCACATACTGACCATTACATCTGAGACATAGAGCCAAGCAAGATTTATTTATTTATTCTATGAATAGAAGATGATAGCACAAAGGAATGTATTCATATTTTGCTTTTGGTTTCTAAAAAAAATATAGCAACAAGGCTATTTTTGGATAAAATAAAATAAAATGTAATTTTTGCTTCAGATTTAATATTGTTATATCCAAATAGAGGGCTATTAAAGAATACTTACAATGACCATAAAACCACACATTTTTTCACAGTCTTGGAAACAGCGTGTTGCAAAAGTGTTTCAGAGCAGAGCTTTTGTCTATAGTGCTGCATTTTAAGCCTGTAGCTGCAATTGCTCAGTAAATAAATAAATAGAACTTTCCTATAAGCTAAAGGCAGATCATCCTCCCTCTCAGTAATGACAGGGAGAAAAGCAGGATCATGACGCATCAGAGCTGAGGTGTGCAGCTGAGGCTTTCTTTAATAGCATGCTCAGTTTTGGCGACATACCCACAGCGAATGTACAGGTGGATTCACCTCGATTCAGGGTCAGCTGAGAGTTGTCTGTGGGAACATATAGTATACTCCACAGAAGCAGTTTCAATGAGAAGTTTTACCATGAAACTCAATTTGTGGGTTTTTGAAAGGCTGGATTTTGTGAGCTTTCTGTTTGGCTCATTTTTGCGCCACTTTCTTACTTCCAAAAACTGTTTTCTTCTCCCAGTTGTGAACTTGTTTAGGCAGCATTTTTCAAAAGGATAACAGCCACAGTGACATACTGAAACACACTTTGTATCAATGATAATGCTCATCAGCTTTTAAAGATTGCAGCAACATATATGTCTCATGGTTTTTATGTGAATAATCAGCCATCACCCAACTGGACAGAACCGCAAAAGGCTGCTTCAGCTGCCCACTGTGGCATCCCTTTTGTCAGCCTTCCAAAAGCACTTTCCTCATCCAGTTGGCATGTTGTCAGGCTTATTGGCTTTTAGAGTGATGTTCACTTCCTAAGAGCAACTGAATACCTTACACTTAAGAGTCAAAGGTTTCAGGGGCAGACAACTTTAAGACACTTTCTCTCTTATCACACATCCATCGTGAGGAAAAAATGGATACTTATGCAGTCGCTAATTTCTTCCTACCTCATTAAAGTGCCCTTGAGAAGTCATGACAGAGTGTTTGCCGAGTTGATCTTAGTCTCAAAAGGACTGTAATCAAAATAAAGTCCAGTCACTGGGGAATGGAGCCAACATGGCCAGGAGTGGTCTGTCACATTCATACTATTACTGCAGCTGTAGGCAGTCGACCGGCAACACACACAGATGCGAGAGCAGCACAACATGGTGGAGGCTCTCTCGCCTCAGCCACTTATTTTCAGATGAAGGACTATCAACAGAGTTAGTGAGATTTAACTGAGCAAGAAGAAGAAAGATCATTTGCACCAAGAGCACCCAGGACTATGTATTCCCCCCTTTCTGTCAGTTTATTTAGTTTTTCATTTGGAAAACAGCAAGACCCATTAGTTTTCCCCCTGAGCCATAGAAAGCATTTCACTCTTTTACTATATTTAATGCTGTGATAACAATTACTAAAGCTACACAATAAGCTTTTAAAAAATATATTTTAAGTCAATATTTATCTAATTTAAATACACAACATGAAATATATTTGTAAAAGTGTTATCATTAAAAAAGTTAATTGTAAAAATATTATGTTATGATAGAGCTTAGAATTGAACTTCAGCTTAGTGTTTTGTTTTGGTCTAGTTTTATGTCTCACAGCACCAGTGAAAATATGCAACTTAATGGGACAGTGTCTAATGCTGTGCATCCTGTAGTCAGCAAAATGTTTGCTTTACCGACTTTGTTCATGCAGAGAATAAATTCAATTTTATACAATGGAGACCTTTTTAGATGCCTTCTAATTTGCTGCTCTTGTGCTGCATCCATCTTGGATGTGCGCGTTCCTGTTTTGGAGTGTTGCTCTCTTCTGAACAAAGCTGGATGGTGCTATTAGCCACTTATTACGGCCACCTGAACTATGCAGATGAAAAATACGTATTTAAAATACAAAATATGAGTAACTGTATTCTATTTAAAATTCAGAATTTAAAAAGGTGGTATTTAGAATACAGTTACTTTGTTGAAATAAATGGATTACCCGGTTGTTCAGTCTGACGTCACTAGCCGTGTCTGGGTCTAAACTCCGCTGCAGGTCCATATATCAAACGATCACTGTGGCATTACTGAGAGTTGAAAAACTGTCTAAAGTCTTTCATCTTTAATAAAATGATCAGCGTTCTGCTCTACCAGGTGTAACAATT